AATCTTGGATGCATCCGTAAATATTTGAAGCCAATGCGGCCAGTTTTTACACATTACCTCATTGAAGGATTTATTTGAACTGGGTGACTGTTTTTCAATACCCAGATTAAGTGAGATGGGCGGATCGAAAACTAAAGACTCGAAGCTGTTTAAAAACAAAGGGTTGCAAGGAAATTTTTCAATGGAAATGGATGGGCGGTGGAACTTATAATAACTAGTAACTATACAGGGTACTTTATGAGAAGAATTAGAATTTATATTTGATAAATGGGTCAGCTTGTCTAAAGAAGGTAACAATGGGTGATTTTCATTTTGTAAAACCTTAAGGAGAAATCTGTCACTGAGGTATTGTCTACGCAGAAAAAGTGGGGGATCGCCCCCTTCTATTTGAAGGGCATTGATGGGGGAGGATTTCATTGCCCCTAGTATAATTCGTAAGCACTTCGATTGGATTTTGTTGATTTTATCCAGAGCTGTTTTATTGCATGGGTCAAGGAGAAATGAGCCATAGTCAAAGTGACTACGAATTATTGCGTTATAAAGCAGTCTTTGAGTTACTGGGTGTGCGCCCCACCAGACGCCAGACAAAGCTCGCAAAACGTTTACGCCCTTTTCTGCCTTACTGGCAATATTATTGAAATGCTCAGTACCCGTGAGTCTAGAGTCAAGTATCATCCCTAAGAACTTTACTGAAGGCCTAATTTCTATTGTGAAGTCCTGAAATTTGATGTTCGGAGCAGGGATGTTTCGTTTCTTTGTAAAGATTACGGTGCTACATTTTGGTGTGGAGACGGATAGTCCATGGTCAGACAGCCAATCACCGAGATATGATAGAGCAGAGTTAAGTCGTGAAGTAGCCTCCGGTATTGATTTCACTGTGACGTAAAGGGCTACGTCATCAGCGTATTGTAAAATCTGGCAGAAGGGGTTCACCGAAAGTTCCATATCGAAAGTGTATAAACTGTAAAGTATGGGGCTAAGAACCGATCCTTGTGGTAGGCCTTTCCATACAGTCCTAGCCAATGTATGGTTTTGAGACCTTATCAAAATAGACCTGGACGTTATCAGGTTGCAAATGAATCGAACCAACTTCACTGGGATGTTCAGATGTTGCATTTTCTGCCTGAGCACCGGAATAAGGACGTTGTCATATGCAGACGATATATCCAGGAATACTCCAATTAGGTATTCTTTTTTCACTAACGCTAAACGGATGTCTGTTGTAAGAGTACTGAGACTGTCTAAAGTGCTATATCCTTTTCTAAAACCGAACTGTGATTTAGCAAGAATGTCATGTCTTTCTACAAACCACTCTAGGCGATTTTTCATTATATGCTCGACGACTTTTAAGAGAACCGACGAAAGGGCTATAGGCCTATAAGAGGAGTGGTCGGATGGGTTCCTACCCGGTTTTAGTATTGGAATCACAATCTGTTTTGTCCATTGATCAGGGATGAGAGCTTTATCATAAAAAAGGTTAATTAATTTTAGGAAATATTGTTTTAATTTATCTGGGGCTCTAATTAAAAAGGAGTATGGAATTCCATCTAGACCTGGAGATGTATCATTAAGGCCAGAAAGCGCTTTTTGAAGTTCTTCAAAGGTAAAAGCTCCGTCTATGATGTCGGTGGAGGGAAAGTGGATATTGGGGTTGATGGGAAGGCAGTCAGCATTTGGGACAGATGAAGGAGCTAATTTATCAGCAAACGCTTCAATCCAGCTTGAGGAATCGTTGGCAGTCAAGTTACGACGGTTGTTAGCTCTACGGAATCTTTTAAGTTGATTCCAGACTATTGCTGAAGGGGTACCAGGTGACAAAGATTCGCAGAATTTATTCCATCCTGTTCTTTTTTTTTGTTTGATTAATTTTTTAGTTTGAGCCGCAATTCGTTGAAACGAAAGGAAGTTTTCCATGGACATGGAATGATTGTATTTTTTTTCGGCTTGTTTCCGTCTTTTGATAGCCTCTGAACATTCAGAGTCCCACCATGGAGGAGATATTTTTTTTTGGGTGCAATTTTTTTTGGGGATGTTTATATGTGCGGCGTCAATTAAGTATTCCACTAACGCGTCATAAGCTTTGGTACCATTTTCAGACGTTACTTTTGGAAGGCTATCTACATTACTGTCCAATGTCTCAGAATAAGCTGACCAATTTGCCTTGTGAAGTCTAAATTGTAATAAGGGGGGTGGCCGGTTAGTAGAAGGGGGACTATCTAATGTCGAAATTAAAATTGGGAAATGATCACTGCCGTGTGTACTACTTAATACGGTCCATGATATATTCGATGCCAGTGAAGGAGAACAAACTGTGATATCCACTGCTGATGGGTTTTGATTAGGGCGGTTCCTTCTAGTGGGGCTTCCATCGTTTAGTAGACAAAGATCTCTCTCATCTAATAAGTCAATAAGTTGGCAACCGAGGGAATCATTTGAATATGAACCCCATACCACATGATGTGCATTAAAGTCTCCCATAATTACTACCGGAGGAGGAAGTGTCATAATAATGGCTATTAATTCTGGGATAACAATATTAGGTGAAGATTGGGGAGGAATGTATATTGATAAAAATGTTATGTTTAAGAGTCTCACAGCCACTGCGTTAATGCTGTCACTGTGGGGTGGTAAGTTGATTTTATTAAAAGGGAGGGAGTAGCTGACCAGCAATGCACTCCCTCCATAACCGTCCCTCCTGTCATCCCGGAGGCAGGAGTACCCGGATATGCCATAGAGTGCACCAGGCACCAACCATGTCTCCGATAAGGCAAAGAGAGATGGGGAGAATTTATTTATAAAATAATTTAGTTCATGAGTTTTGGTATTAATGCTACTGCAGTTCCATTGAATTATCGTCGCCATTTTTGTTATTAGTGAGAAATTTGTGAAGTTGATTGATTTTTTGCGCAACGTTGGTCGGTACTGGGATGTCATCAAATCTATTTAGAAGGCTTACAACAAATGTTAAGAGGGTTTCTAACAAGTTATCATTTGGGGAGATTTCTATTGGTGCATTGTCATTATTGAGAGCGCAGCCATTTGGGAGGAAAGAGGGGCAGTTTTCAATAATAGCCTGATGGGCTAATCGATCATATCCCGGGCTCAAAGGGGTTCTAGAGCTTGGGGGAAGGAATACAGTTTTCCGATATGAAGTTGTACCTGTTGGATGTTTGTTAGGAGATGTTTGTGTGTGCTGAATATGGGGATGCCTCGATAGAGGAGATTGGGTTACATCCGCATAGGATCTTTTCACTGAGGGAAATCTTTGGGATGCTTCTTGGTATGAAATATTATCTTGTGACATGAGTATTTTAATTGATCTTTGTCGAGACTGTTCTGGGCAACTTTTGTTAGTAGCATAATGACAGCCTAAACAGAAAAGGCAAGTTGATTGAGCTTCAATAATACTACATGATTCCCCAGAGTGAGGTTGAGCGCAGCGGAAGCAACGTGGTTTAGACCGGCATTGTACTTTAATGTGTCCAAATCTGCAGCAGTTTAGACATTGTATAGTGGGAAAATGGTAAGCTTCTACTGGCACGGACGTATGGTAAACAAAAACTTTATTAGGGAGGACCTGTCCTTGGAATGTAAGAACTACAGTTTGAGTTGGTACCCAGGTCACTTTGCCATCTATCACAGTCTTTCTATTAAGTCGTCTTGCCTTCAAAATATGACCGCAGCTAACAGGGATTACTAACGATTCTACTAACTCTTCCATTGATAGATCAGATGGTACACCTTTAACAATTCCCATGCGAGTAACATTGTAATTAGGTATTTGTGCAGTATATTTATAGATTGAAAGGAAGGAGTTGTTTATGAACTGATTTGCATCCAAACTGGTCATAAATTCAACAGAAATTCTATTGCGACCAACTTTTTTAATACCATCATTGACAATATTTTTAATCTTGTTTTTAATTAGTAACTGGCCAAACTTAATGGGATGAATTGATATGCCTGATGAGGGATCTGTTTCAGTTTTAGAGATATGAACAATAAAAGGGCCTTTATCACTATCAATATATTGTTTGTTAGTTTCGTTTATAGATGGGTGGGTGTATATACCGGGAGGGTTCTCTGTGACATCTGTCTGCCTAACCTCTGTTATTACTCTTTTGGGTGTGTTAGTCAATTCGGGTTCAATTTCATTTCGACGTTTAACTCCTGTCTGTGTGAATAGCGGAGGAGAAAGTTCCATCATTAGTGGAGTAGAAGGCCGATCCGGCGGATCCGGAGGTTCAGGAGGGGTCCTTTCCATTGATTATTTTGTAATCAGTGGAAAGGACAGGGAAACAGAAATCTATGACTACTTACCAATACCAGCTGTTAGTACTAAATATAAACACAATATTTCGTAATTCCACGTAGAAAATGGGCTAATATTCACTAAATAAACAAAGAAATCCCCATACCACGTGTAACAACCTGATAAGTTTCTTAAGCTTGTTCTTCTTGTCAGCTAAAAGACGTCCTGAACAAGTGGTAGGGGAAAAATTTTTTTGGACGATTTAAAAGTGCTCGTAATAAACCTACTTGAATAAAGGTTTACCGCTCGGGGGCGCTGAACGTGTAAACATTGACTGTGTGTTAATTGCGTGTAAAAATATAAATAATTTGTAACTGTAACAGTGTTTGTGTTAAAAAGAAAATAAAATAAGGCAAAAATAATAGACAGTGAAATTCTGTGTAGTTATAACCTAAGAGAAGAAACAAATCCAATAAAAAATTATTTCGGTACATTTATTAAAAACTAAAGTGACAATTTTGATAGAAAATTAAAGTAAACAGTGCATAAATTTTGAATTCATCTAACGATTTATTGGACTAAGTGATGTGAATCAATGGACTTTGCACCGTAGCAAATCATTGGTTGCATATGTTCTGACATCTGGTGACTAAACGATAAACTATAATAACACTGTCTACTTACTAAGCATAGCACCAACGGCAAGCAAATCAATATGTCAAAAAGAACTAATACAAAAAACCATTGTAAGATGTCGGCAGAGATCATATGTTTTAAATGTAAAAACGAAGTGGACATTAAAGATACATTATTGTGTCACATATGCAATAACAGATTTGAATTCGACTGCGCTGGTTTTTCCGAAAAATTATATCGTATAATGAAATCAGATACTAAGAAAAATTGGAAATGTAAAAATTGTATACATAAATCTACAGATCCTGCATCATTAATAAATACATCAATTAAGACATCTAACTTTGTGACAACACGGAAAAAAATATCGGGTACAATCGTCTCATCTAAAGCCAAAGAATGCAACATAAATAGTGGTATAGTACAATACATTTTGGTAAGCAATTCTAAGGAAAATTCACTTGAAGAATCGACTGAAATTGACAATAAAGATGTCATCGCAAGTGATAAAAGTAATATTGTCAGAAATAACAGTAAAATAACTTCTTTGCCAGATTTATCTACGACTTATCAAACCACGGGCGAGAATTCTTTCAATATAACATCTCATAGCTTACCTGATAGGACAACCGAAGAGAATCTCTTCATTCAGGAGTTAAAGAATGAAATTGAAAAACTACGATTAGAATTGGACTCAGCAACTGCCGAAATTGATAACTTGAATTTAATGAATAGAGAATTGTCTAAAAAAATTTATGACCAAGAAAAAATTATAAAATTATATAAAACAGTTGGAATAACCGACTTCAACGCGAGTATAAATAAAACGTCATCTACATCTACACCAAAATTAATGTACAATAATAAAACGAAGAATCAGTCGACAAAAAAACAAAAGAAGAATAACATTTCTGCTAGCTACTTAGATATAATTCCTACTAATGAGTCGAGTTATCCAGCAGCGCCACCAGCGATGCAACGAGAAGCGGTTTAATGCGTGGCTCATCAGATTAGCAATGTACGTCAAGCTTCACAAGATGGCGCTTCATCCTATACTGTGACTACGGACGGCGACATCCATTATACCTAAACAAAAGATATTTATACTTGGTGACGAAGGGGCAGTGGGTTTATCTTGTAAAATATTAGAGACTAGGAAAAACAAATGGAATGATAATTATAAACCATTTTGACTTGTTAGACCTAATGCTTATTCGTCGGAAACTCTTGAAGATTGCTATACGATTAAAAATAATTTATCTATGAATGATTTTGTAGTTGTTTGCACAGGAAACCATGACTCTAATCCGTATAATTTATTTTCAAATATATGTAAAATAATGCACGAGTTACGTCACACAAATGTAATAATATTACCAATTATAAATAATAGACACCCAAATTTACAAAGAATTAATAATAATTTGAAGCTTTTGTGTAATACACAAGCAAATTGTATCATGTTGGACTTAAGTGAAATATGTTTAAATCATTCCCAATTTTTAGAATTTATTTCCATTAAAATCAATGTAGCTATAGATTACCCTGTTTATGAGGCATGATTTTTAAAACAAAAATTACAAGTCACTATATTGCAATATAAAAAATCTATTAAAGTGTATAATGAGCACCCAGTGAAGAAAGGAACGATGCCCTATTATTTTGCTCGAATACAAAAACCAAAAATTATTGAATCATGCCAATGCCAAGTCATAGACAAGAGAGATATGTCTAGTAATTCGAACCAGTCAAACGAGGATTTTTTTCGTGAATAAAGATCGTGATAAGGCATTGATTATTTTTCATCAAAACATTGCAGGTATACTGAATAAATTAGATAATTTGGAGATAGTAATACACGACTTCCAAAATAGTGGAAAGGATATCAACGTAATTTGTATAACAGGAACTTTTCTAAATCGAACAGATATCAAAAATATACGATTGTCAAATTTTAAACTAGCTGCTTTTTATTGCAAGGTGTTAGGAAAACGCTTCCGAATCTTTAACATGGTTATTATACCATATTAATGGAGTCCTACAAAAATATTTGTTTACTTGAATAATTAGTATTTAACGAAATCGTATTTTCTAAGCACGCAATGTAAAACGTACAAATACACGGGTGAACGACCGCGCGGCGCGAGCGCTTTTGATAGTTGCACACATGCATAAGCGAGCACACACAAACACACACAGAGACGATCGTAAGTACTACGTAAAGTAATTTATTACAATAACCTTTAATTTTTTTATAAGTAACAATTAATTTAACCAGTTAAACTTAACATCATGATTTTTATTTTAATGCAAAAACGTACTTACCTGTTCATGTTCTCCGCGGTCTAACTAAGTGTGGCTCGAATTGTGCCCCATTCATCTCAACACAAATTCGAGCCCGTCGCCGCGTCTCTTCGTGAAGTCGAGGCATGAATGACCTGATGATCCGACCATGAATTCCACATGCCGTTCCTTGTGAATGTAGATTCATCTGTCCAGATAACATGCTGAATAAATCCTGGAAGACGCTGTTGTTGATCCAACAACCAACGGCAGAAAGTGCGACGACGGGGTAGGTCTTCGGGTATCAAAGCTTGCACTTTATGAATTTTGTAAGGCCGCATTCTGTTTCTTCGCAAAACTTTGTACATCGTCCAATGCGAAACTGAGGGCCCATTTGGCCGCTGCAGTAACTTCGCAGCAGTCCTCGTGCCCAAACGGGGGTTGCGTTGGATCACATCGAGAATACGCTCCTCGGCTGCAATGTCTATTGGTCGCCCACCGCCGACCGCCACCGGAACGATCGGTTGATTCTCCAACAGTCGTTGAAACGCAGCAGTAATGGTTCGAGAGTCTCCTGGATGATGCACATTAGGAAATCTTTCCCGGTAAATTCTCAAAGCTAGAGAAGCATTGCCACGTGCTTCTCCTAAACACATAACCATGTTCCCATACTCACGAGCACTGTACACATACGCATTAGGCATGATGAGATGCACTTATTGTCTAATAAAACTTAAAATAAACACTAAATAAATAAACTTAACACGCTCAACTAAAAACTATGATAACTAATTTAACGAAATAAACTTTAAAATACGCATTCGCAAACCGAGATGGAAAGTTTTTTGCCACTGGTCGGATTCATGCCTCGCTCATATCAAAGAAGCCGCGATCATTCGTTCTTCGGTTCTTCCTACTGAATGCAACTTTTTTACTGTGTTGCAACTTTTTTCACCAAATTCCCAAAATTGTTTTAGAAATGAAATCTGCAATTGAATGGATTGTGCATTACGTGTTCGATCAAATTTATGTTTTAACATTGTGAATTATTACAAGAACTGATATCGTAAGTAATTTTTAATAATACCGAAATAAACCAAATGAAAATTGTCTGAAAGTGTACGCTATACTAATTGATAGAATGTTGTGCATCATTAATAATTGTTTTCACCGTATCCTAATAAATAAAAGTAAGACAGAGAAATTATTATCCGGGTACCGTTTTTGTTAACCGATTGGCAGGAACATTGGCTAACGTAACTTAACTAACCTTATTTGCGACGCTCTTAACTTATTGTTATACGAATAAATTTTTAAAAGTGATTAATGTTATTTCAATAACATCAACTTCAATAAAAAAAAAAAAATTTAATAATACCATGTAATCAAAAATATTAAAAAGATAGATAGATATTTAAAAGATAGCTTACCTTTCTTTAATATCATACAATTTTTATGGGATTTATCCCGTAAAAAAATTACCCAATTAAGGGAAAAAATTAGAGCTGGCAGCACGTGTAGCGGCAGCATGTCTTAGAAACCGGAAGCGGACGGACCGGAAAAGTGAAGCGGCATCTTTTATAAACACACTCACCGGTCACTGCGGTTCGCAATGATATCTAGGGCTGCCACTCATTTCACTTAGCAACTTTAATAGTAATTAATTATGTGTTTAGATTTATAAATAAAGTTTGTCGTAAAAGTGAAGTTTTACAATTCAACATTGTGTTTAATCATGAATAAACCGATAGGATTATACTATTGGGTTAGTCATGCAAAGTAAGTATTTATTAAGAGAAACAACTATTCCGCTTTTTTATAGTTTTCAAATTGAAACAAGAGAAATAATTATGCTAAAATTGAATCGGGAAAAAATTCAATTTGGACTCCCAATAGTTTTTCATAAAGTTTACTTTTTTAATGATTTCACATACACACACACACACACACACACTTCTGGAGAAATGAAGTTTCTTATACATTTAGATTTTGATGAAATAAAAATGATTTAACACCTTCCCCTCATTTTAATGAAATGTATTTATCTGATCTTTTTGTGTTTTATAAAACCTAAATAAATTACTATGCGAGTTAAAAGATATCGTTATTAGTTACATGCTCTGAATAAAATCAAATGATTTTTGTCTTAAACTTTTCTGCGCTAACGTAAAAAAACTCATTAAAATAAAGCTCACATTTTAAAGACAAGTAAATAAAAAAGTGCACTTATCAAAATCATGTAATGTAAGTTTTATTTTTAAAAATTTACAAAGATAAAAATTTTGTAAATACTAGAGTTACTAAACCGTTTTGAAATGTTTAGTCGAAACAAATGTTTTCCAGAAGAACATGCATTTTATCTAGTAGGTTATTCAAAAACGATATTTACTCATTAAAAAGTGGCACCCCTTAACACGGAAACACTACCGATTGATTTTGCTTTACACTACTAGATGGCGCTGCATCTATCATTCTCATTCGCTATATCATCAAACCGCCGCGATTTGCCGCTAGATGTATCTAGAAGTTTACGAGCTTGGCCTGCAGTATCTTCGCTCTCGTTTTTACTTATTGTTATTGCGTGAAAGGGAATGATCATCAATAAATAACAATTTGAAAAAATAACAAAACGCCGTTTTAAAACTACTTTTAGTAATTGCGTTTTCATTGCATTTTCTTAATAAAACACAGGAAAATGGGTACCTAAACTAGCAACGTAGAGAACTAAGAGCTTTTCGTCGCTAGATGTCGCTGAAGTTTCTCACTCGTATCTTCTGTCTCTTTTCATTCTACCAGTGGTGAAGGAAAGAGAATGAAAGTGCCCTTTGAACGTACCAAAGGTTATTGAACTCTCGGGGTCGTCTACCGCCGATCAGCTGATTTTTTCGAGTTTTAATTACATTGCGTTTTTATGGAAAATCAATAAATAGACAAATTTATTTATAAAAATAGTAATACTTAACTTATTTTACATCGCTAAAAGTGAAAAAAAAATAAAAATAACATATTTTTTTTGAAAAATAAAGTAATAATTTTTTCTTTGCAATGTATCCAGAATCACTTACTCTATCACTGGTTTTCGTTTTCGGAAGTGAAGACTATGCAACTAATCTACATTTTGAGTGCTGTGGTATTGAAATAAAATGCAAGAATTTAGTTATACTATGTATCTATCGCACACCGAAATCGGACCTTAATATTTTCTTTGATAAATTTGAAGCATTATTATCGAGATTATGGTCCAGGGGAGCGAGAAAAATAATTATTGCAGGGGATTTAAATATTAATACGTTAAATGTAAATACACATTCAAATAAATTAAGAAATTTATTACTTACTTACAACTTAAAATTACATATAAATGAACCAACCAGAATTGATAGTTGTATTGATCATATAATTAGTAATGTAAGGAGTGCTAAAGGCTTTGTACATAAATTAGGTCTGTCAGATCATAGTGGACAAACAGCTGAATTTAAACTCCAAATTAAGGAAGGCATATCAATATGGTCTGAAAAAAAAGGGATTTTAGTATAGACAACATACATAAGTTTCAGAGTTGTCTTGCATCCCTATCATATTCTGATATATATGTAGAAACCAATACCAACAAGGCTTTTAATGAATTTCATTCTTTGCTACGAATGTTCTATGATTTATGCTTCCCTAAACTTGAAATAAAAATAAGAAACAAAATAAACAAAGCTAAATGGATTACGAAAGGCATTAAAAGATGTTGTAAAGAAAAAATGCGATTATATTTTATATATAAGAAATCTAATAAAAGTGATAAACAGTTAAATAATCAAAAATATAAAGTTTACTCCAGGCTACTTAGGCGGTGTATGTTGTGTGCAAAAGCAACGAAATAAAAAATATATAATGAATTCCAAAAATAAGACAAAAGCTGCCTGGAATATTATAACGACACACATCTCTGAGCCCACTACCGCCATGGAGTTGAACGAAATCAAATATAATGGGCTATCTTATCTTAAACCGATTGACGTAGCAAATACTATGAATATTTTTTTTATTGAATCAATAC